ACGTGTTGAAAATTAACTGAAATGTGGTCCCTGTTAAACATAAGAGTGGGAATAAGAGAGGGAAGAGATGTATAATTTGGGACATGCTCAAGCTGACTTGCCCCAAATGGTAGAGGTAGAAACATACCAGGGGATTCCAATTAAATCCCATCAATGTGGCATGTACCAATGTCATCTCACTATTCCAAGTGATCAATTTCAGTTCACAATTGATCATAATGAAAGGACTAAGAGTCAAAGGGAGCACATAAACAAGTCTAGTACCTGCTAACACTAACCGATAGAATAAATAAAGGGGAGAGTGATCCAACATGGGAAGTGAGATACTCAGCAGACTCATAGAATGGCAGATGTCCTAAATAGCACTCTGGCCTCAGAATCAGGCCTAAAGGCATTCAGATCTGGCTGAAAAGCCCATGAGAGTATTTCAGGCATGGAAAGCCAAGACACTCTGGCAAAAGATCTCTGTGAGTGAGATCCCAGTGGAAAGAACAGGTCTTCAAAGAAGGAGGTACCTTTCTCTGAAGGGAGGAGAGAACCTCCACTTTGACTATGACCTTGTCTAAACAAAATAAGAGTCGGAGAACTCAGAGGGCTTCCATAGCCTTGGAAACTCATGACTGGTGCATAGGGAGATTACTGATGCCATAGACAGGAGTGTCAATTGGTAAAGTCAACAACAGGAGTCACTGTGCACTTACTCCTCATGTAGGATCTCTGTCCTTAATGTGCTGTGCATTGAGATTTAATGCTATAACGAGTACTCAAACAATATATTTCACTTTGTGTTTCTATGGGGGTGCAAACTGTTGAAATCTTTACTTAATGCATACTAAACTGATCTTCTGTAAAAAAAAAAAAAAAGAAATTATCAATTCCCAACTTGACTCTCACTGGGATTAAACATGAGAATAGGTCTGATCTGATTTCATCAACATTAAAAAAAAATCATCTATTATTTTTCACTTTATGTTTCTGTGTGGGAGCAAACTGTTGAAATCCTTACTTAATGTTTACTAAGCTGATCTTCTGTATATTAAGATAAACGAAAATGAATTTTGATGTGAATGGAAGGGGAAAGGGAGTGGGAAAGGGGAGGGTTGTGGGTGGGAGGGACAGTATGGCGGGGAAGCCATTGTAATCCATAACGCGTACTTTGGAAATTTATATTCATTAAATAAAAGTTAAAGAAAAAAAAGAAAAAGACCATTCCTTCCGTGTCTTGAACTCCATATTCCAGCGTCAAAATCAAAGCTCAAATCAGAAAATTCATTACAAACCATGATAAATAAGAAAAATGTGAAAAAAGCCAAAGAAATGGAAGAGTCCTTTTTGATATTGGGCTTGATTAGTCACAAGGAAACAGGCTGTTTCCGGATTCATCCACCCCTCCCAGCTGACTGGCTTTGGAAAACTAATTCAATGCACCTGAAAATCGCCCTCAAACTTGATTTGATGGGAATTAATTTTCGTTCCCCTCTGCAAAAGGGTTCCATTTCTTTTTCCACAACACAAAAACTCATGTGGGTTGTGCTGCCCCTAGAATTCTAAGCATGACAGGGTAATTTGTTTTGTTTTTTATTTCATACTGGATCTGCTGTCTAAACTCTTGTTTGTATTGCGTCAGAATACAAAATTTGGAAAGAAAGAAGGCAAAACCAACTCAGACCCAGAAATCATTTAGGAAATTTCCACTCAAGAAACCAAAAGTCGGCTGAGGCACCCAAAGCAATGACAGAAAGCCAGAATTGGAGCAAGCCAACAGCTGTGCCCTGATTGAAAAAGACCATTCCTTCCGTGTCTTGAACTCCATAATCCAGCCTCAAAACGAAAGCTCACATCAGAAAATTCATTACAAACCATGATAAATATGAAAAATGTGAAAAAAAGCCAAAGAAATGCAAGAGTCCTTTGTGATATTGTGCTTGATTTAGTCACAAGGAAACCGGCTCTTTACAGATTCATCCACCACTCCCAGCTGAGTGGCTTTGAAAAACTAATTGAATTCACCTGAAAGTAGAAGTAAATCTTGGTTTAGGTGGAAATAATTTTCCGTCCCCTCTGCAAAAGGGTTCCATTTCTTTTTCTAAAATACAAAAACTCATCTTGGTGGTGCTGCCTGTAGATTTCTAAGCGTGACACGCCTAATTGGTTGTGTTTTTATTTCATAATGGATCTCCTGAAAAACTCTTGTTTGTACTGCATGAGAATACAAAATTTGGGAAAGAAGAAGGCAAAACCAACTCAGACCCAGAAATCATTTAGGAACTTGCCGCTCAAGAAACTAAAAGTCGGCTGAGGCACCCAAAACAATGACAGAAAGCCAGAATTGGAGCAAGCCAACAGCTGTGCCCTGATAGAAAAAGAACGTTCCTTCCGTGTCTTGAACTCCATATTATAGCCTCAAAATGACAGCTCACATCAGAAAATTCATGACAAACCATGATAAATACGAAAAATGTGAAAACAGCCAAAGAAATGGAAGAGTCCTTTATGATATTGGCTTGATTTAGTCACAAGGAAACAGGCTGTTTCCAGATTCATCCACCCCTCCCAGCTGACTGGCTTTGGAAAACTATTTGAATTCACCTGAAAATCACCGTCAAACTGATTTGGTGGGAAACTGGCGGTTTGCGGATACATCCACCCCTCCCAGCTGACCGGCTTTGGAAAACTATTTGAATTCACCTGAAAATAACCGTCAAACTGATTAGGGGGAAATCAGCTGTTTCTGGATTCATCCACCCCTCCCAGGTGAGTGGCTTGGGAAAACTAATTGAATTCACCTGAAAATCGCCGTCAAACTTGATTTTAGGGGAATTAATTATCGCTCCCCTCTGCAAAAGGGTTCCATTTCTTTTTCCAAAACACACAATCTCATCTTGGTCGTGCTGCCTGTAGATTTCTAAGTGTGATACGCCAATTTGTTTTGGTTTTTATTTCATAATGGATCTGCTGTCTAAACTCTTGTTTGTATTGCGTCAGAATACAAAATTTTGAAGAAAGAAGGTAAAACCAACCAAGACTCAGAAATCATTTAGGCAATTGCTGCTCAAGAAACCAAAAGTCGGCTGAGGCACCCAAAACAATGACAGAAAGCCAGAATTGGAGCAAGCCAACAGCTGTGCCCTGATACAAAAAGACCATAACTTTCTTGTCTTGAACTCCGTATTCCAGCCTCAAATCAAGGTCACATCAGAAAATTCATGACAAACCATGATAAATAAGAAAAATGTGAAAAAAGCCAAAGAAATGCAAGAATCCTTTTTGATGCTGGGCTGGAATTAGTAACAAGGAAACCGGCTATTTCCGGATTCATCCACCCCTCCCTGCTGACTGGCTTTGGAAAACTAATTGAATTCACCTGAGAATCACCGTCAAACTAATTTTGGGGAAAACCGACTGTTTCCAGATGTGTTGACGGCTCTCAGCTGATGGGCTTTGGAAAACTACTTGAATTCACCTGAAAATCAACCTCTAACTTGATTTGGGCGGAAACTGTCTGTTTCCGGATTCATCCACCCCTCCCAGCGGACTGGCTTTGCAAAAGTAATTGAATTCACTTTAAAATTACCGTTAAAATTGATTTGGGCAGAACTAATTATCAGTCCCCTCTGCAAAAGGGTTCCATCTTTTTCAAAACACAGAAGCTCATCTTGGTCGTGCTGCATGTAGATTTCTAAGCATGACACACTAAATGGTTGTGTGTGTTTTTATTTTTAAATTTTTTGACAGGCAGAGTGGAAAGCAGATAGAGAGAGAGAAAGGTCTGTGTTCTTTTATTTCATAATGGATCCTCTGTCTAAACTCTTGTATGTATTGTGTCAGAATATAAATTCATTACAAACCATGATAAAAAAGAAAAATGGGAAAAAATCAAAAAAATACAAGAGTCCTTTGGGATATTGGGCTTGATTAAGTCAACAAGGAAACCGGCTGTTTCTGGATTGATCCAACCCTCCCAGCTGACTGGCTTTGCAGAACTAATTGAATTCACTTGAAAATCGGGGGAAAACTTGATTTTGGGGGGAAATACATTTCAGTCCCCTCTGCAAAAGTGTTCCATTTCTTTATCCACAACACAAAAACTCATCTGGGTCATGCTGGCTGTACATTTCTAAGCATGACATGCCAATTGGTTGTGTTTTTTATTTCATAATGGATCCTCTGTCAAAAATGTTGTGTATTGCGTCAGAATACAAAATTTGGGAAGGAAGAAGGCAAAACCAACTCAGACCCAGAAAGCATTTAGGAAATTTCCGTTCAAGAAACCAAAAGTTGGCTGAGGATCCGAAAAGAATGACAGAATGCCAGAATTGGAGCAAGTCCACAGCTGTGCCCTGATTGAAAAACACCATTCCTTCCATGTCTTGAACTCCATATTCCAACCTAAAAATCAACGCTCACATCAGAAAATTCATTACAAACCATGATATAAGACAAATGTGAAAAAGCTAAAGAAATGCAAGAGTCCTTTGCGATATTGAGTTATTTAGTCACAGGGAAACCGGCTGTTTTCAGATTCATCCACCCCTCCCAGCTGACTGGCTTTGGAAAACTAATTCAATGCACCTGAAAATCGCCGTCAAACTTGATTTGGGGGGAATTAATATCGGTCCCCTCTGCAAAAGGGTTCCATTGCTTTTTCCAAAACAGAAAAACTCACCTTGGTCTTGTTGCTCGTAGGTTTCTAAATATGAAATCGCAGGCAGCATGAACAACAATAATTTTGTATTCTTAGGCAATACAAGCAAGGGTTTAGACAGCAGATCCATTATGAAATAAAAAACAAAACCAATTGGCGTGTCATGCTTAGACATCCAAGGGCAGCATGACGAAGATGAGTTTTTGTGTTTTGGAAAAAGAAATGGAACCCTTTTGCAGAGGGGAACGATAATTAATTCCCCCAAATCAAGTTTGCCAGCGATTTTCAGGTGAATTGGTTTTCCAAAGGCAGTCAGCTGGGAGGGGTGGATGGATCTGAAACAGCCTGTTTCCTTGTGACTAAATCAAGCCAATATCCAAAAGGACTCTTCCATTTCTTTGGCTTTTTTCACATTTTTCTTATTTATCATGGTTTGTCATGAATTTTCTGATGTGAGCTTTGATTTTGAGGCTGGAATATGGAGTTCAAGACACGGAAGGAATGGTCTTTTTCAATCAGGGCACAGCTGTTGGCTTGCTCCAATTCTGGCTTTCTGTCATTGTTTTGGGTGCCTCAGCCAACTTTTGGTTTCTTGAGTGGCAATTTCCTAAATGATTTCTGGGTCTGAGTTGGTTTTGCCTTCTTCCTTCCCAAATTTTGTATTCTGACGCAATACAAACCAGAGTTTAGACAGCGGATCCATTATGAAATAAAAAACACAACAAATTAGCGTGTCATGCTTAGAATTCTAGAGGCAGCACGACCAACATGAGTTTTTGTGTTTTGGAAAAAGAAATGGAACCCTTTTGCAGAGGGGAACGATAATTAATTCCCCCAAATCAAGTTTGCCAGCGATTTTCAGGTGCATTGAATTAGTTTTCCAAAGCCAGTCAGCTGGGAGTGGTGGATGAATCTGGAAACAGCCTGTTTCCTTGTGACTAAATCAAGCCAATATCAAAAGGACTCTTCCGTTTCTTTGGCTTTTTTCACATTTTTCGTATTTATCATGGTTTGTCATGAATTTTCTGATGTGAGCTTTCATTTTGAGTCTGGAATATGGAGTTGAAGACACGGAAGGAATGGTCTTTTTTTTTTTTTTTTTTGACAGTCAGAGTGGACAGTGAGAGAGAGAGACAGAGAGAGAAAGGTCTTCCTTTTCCGTTGGTTCACCCTCCAATTGTCGCCCCTGCAGCCGGCGCACCGCGCTGATCCTGGCAGGAGCCAGGAGCCAGGTGCTTTTCCTGGTCTCCCATGGGGTGCAGGGCCCAAGCACCTGGGCCATCCTCCACTGCACTCCCTGGCCATAGCAGAGAGCTGGCCTGGAAGAGGGGCAACCGGGACAGAATCCGGCGCCCCAACTGGGACTAGAACCCGGTGTGCCGGCGCCGCAAGGTGGAGGATTAGCTTATTGAGCCACGGTGCCGGCTAGAAATGGTCTTTTTCAATCAGGGCACAGCTGTTGGCTTGCTCCAATTCTGGCTTTCTGTCATTGTTTTGGGTGTCTCAGCTGACTTTCGGTTTCTTGAGCGGCAATTTCCTAAATGATTTCTGGGTCTGAGTTGGTTTTGCCTTCTTCCTTCCCAATTTTTGTATTCTGAAGTAATGTAAACAAGAGTTTAGAAACCAGATCCATTATGAAATAAAAAACACAAGAAATTAGCCTGTCATGCTTAGACTTCTAGAGGCAGCACGACCAACATGAGTTTTTGTGTTTTGGAAAAAGACATGGAACCCTTTTGCAGAGGGGAACGCTAATGAATTCCCCCAAATCAAGTTTGCCAGCGATTTTCAGGTGCATTGAATGAGTTTTCCAAAGCCAGTCAGCTGGGAGGGGTGGATGAATCTGGAAACAGCCTGTTTCCTTGTGACTAAATAAAGCCAATATCAAAAAGGACTCTTCCATTTCTTTGGCTTCTTGCACAATTTTCGTATTTATCATGGTTTGTCATGAATTTTCTGATGTGAGCTTTCATTTGGAGGCTGGAATATGGAGTTCAAGACACGGAAGGAATGGTCTTTTCAATCAGGGCACAGCTGTTGGCTTGCTCCAATTCTGGCTTTCTGTCATTGTTTTGGGTGCCTCAGCCGACTTTTGGTTTCTTGAGCGGCAATTTCCTAAATGATTTCTGGGTCTGAGTTGGCTTTGCCTTCTTCCTTCCCAAATTTTGTATTCTGACGCAATACAAACCAGAGTTTAGACAGCGGATCCATTATGAAATAAAAAACACAACAAATTAGCGTGTCATGCTTAGAATTCTAGAGGCAGCACGACCAACATGAGTTTTTGTGTTTGGAAAAAGAAATGGAACCCTTTTGCAGAGGGGAACGATAATTAATTCCCCAAATCAAGTTTGCCAGCGATTTTCAGGTGCATTGAATTAGTTTTCCAAAGCCAGTCAGCTGGGAGGGGTGGATGAATCTGGAAACAGCCTGTTTCCTTGTGACTAAATCAAGCCAATATCAAAAAGGACTCTTCCGTTTCTTTGGCTTTTTCACATTGTTCGTATTTATCATGGTTTGTCATGAATTTTCTGATGTGAGCTTTGATTTTGAGGCTGGAATATGGAGTTCAAGACACGGAAGGAATGGTCTTTTTCAATCAGGGCACAGCTGTTGGCTTGCTCCAATTCTGGCTTTCTGTCATTGTTTTGGGTGCCTCAGCCGACTTTTGGTTTCTTGAGCAGCAATTTCCTAAATGATTTCTGGGTCTGAGTTGGTTTTGCCTTCTTCCTTCCCAAATTTTGTATTCTGACGCAATACAAACCAGAGTTTAGACAGCGGATCCATTATGAAATAAAAAACACAACAAATTAGCCTGTCATGCTTAGAATTCTAGAGGCAGCACGACCAACATGAGTTTTTGTGTTTTGGAAAAAGAAATGGAACCCTTTTGCAGAGGGGAACGCTAATTAATTCCCGCAAATCAAGTTTGCCAGCGATTTTCAGGTGCATTGAATTAGTTTTCCAAAGCCAGTCAGCTGGGAGGGGTGGATGAATCTGGAAACAGCCTGTTTCCTTGTGACTAAATCAAGCCAATATCACAAAGGACTCTTCCGTTCTTTGGCTTTTTCACATTGTTCGTATTTATCATGGTTTGTCATGAATTTTCTGATGTGAGCTTTCATTTTGAGGCTGGAATATGGAGTTCAAGACACGGAAGGAATGGTCTTTTTCAATCAGGGCACAGCTGTTGGCTTGCTCCAATTCTGGCTTTCTGTCATTGTTTTGGGTGCCTCAGCCGACTTTTGGTTTCTTGAGCGGCAATTTCCTAAATGATTTCTGGGTCTGAGTTGGTTTTGCCTTCTTCCTTCCCAAATTTTGTATTCTGACGCAATACAAAGCAGAGTTTAGACAGCGGATCCATTATGAAATAAAAAACACAACAAATTAGCATGTCATGCTTAGAATTCGAGAGGCATCACGACCAACATGAGTTTTTGTGTTTTGGAAAAAGAAATGGAACCCTTTTGCAGAGGGGAACGAAAATTAATTCCCCCAAATCAAGTTTGCCAGCGATTTTCAGGTGCATTGAATGAGTTTTCCAAAGCCAGTCAGCTGGGAGGGGTGGATGAATCTGGAAACAGCCTGTTTCCTTGTGACTAAATCAAGCCAATATCACAAAGGACTCTTCCGTTTCTTTGGCTGTTTTCACATTTTTCGTATTTATCATGGTTTGTCATGAATTTTCTGATGTGAGCTTTCATTTGGAGGCTGGAATATGGAGTTCAAGACACGGAAGGAATGGTCTTTTTCAATCAGGGCACAGCTGTTGGCTTGCTCCAATTCTGGCTTTCTGTCATTGTTTTGGGTGCCTCAGCTGACTTTTGGTTTCTTGAGCGGCAATTTCCTAAATGATTTCTGGGTCTGAGTTGGTTTTGCCTTCTTCCTTCCCAAATTTTGTATTCTGACGCAATAGAAGCCAGAGTTTAGACAGCGGATCCATTATGAAATAAAAAACACAACAAATTAGCGTGTCATGCTTAGAATTCTAGAGGCAGCACGACCAACATGAGTTTTTGTGTTTTGGAAAAAGAAATGGAACCCTTTTGCAGAGGGGAACGCTAATGAATTCCCCAAATCAAGTTTGCCAGCGATTTTCAGGTGCATTGAATGAGTTTTCCAAAGCCAGTCAGCTGGGAGGGGTGGATGAATCTGGAAACAGCCTGTTTCCTTGTGACTAAATCAAGCCAATATCAAAAAGGACTCTTCCGTTTCTTTGGCTTTTTCACATTTTTCGTATTTATCATGGTTTGTCATGAATTTTCTGATGTGAGCTTTCATTTGGAGGCTGGAATATGGCAGTTCAAGACACGGAAGGAATGGTCTTTTCAATCAGGGCACAGCTGTTGGCTTGCTCCAATTCTGGCTTTCTGTCATTGTTTTGGGTGCCTCAGCCGACTTTGGTTTCTTGAGCGGCAATTTCCTAAATGATTTCTGGGTCTGAGTTGGCTTTGCCTTCTTCCTTCCCAAATTTTGTATTCTGACGCAATACAAAGCAGAGTTTAGACAGCGGATCCATTATGAAATAAAAAACACAACAAATTAGCCTGTCATGCTTAGAATATGAGAGGCAGCACGACCAACATGAGTTTTTGTGTTTTGGAAAAAGAAATGGAACCCTTTGCAGAGGGGAACGATAATTAGTTCCCCCAAATCAAGTTTGCCAGCGATTTTCAGGTGCATTGAATTAGTTTTCCAAAGCCAGTCAGCTGGGAGGGGTGGATGAATCTGGAAACAGCCTGTTTCCTTGGGACTAAATCAAGCCAATATCAAAAAGGACTCTTCCGTTTCTTTGGTTGTTTTCATATTTATCATGGTTTGTCATGAATTTTCTGATGTGAGCTTTCATTTGGAGGCTGGAATATGCAGTTCAAGACACGGAAGGAATGGTCTTTTTCAATCAGGGCACAGCTGTTGGCTTGCTCCAATTCTGGCTTTCTGTCATTGTTTTGGGTGCCTCAGCCGACTTTTGGTTTCTTGAGCGGCAATTTCCTAAATGATTTCTGGGTCTGAGTTGGCTTTGCCTTCTTCCTTCCCAAATTTTGTATTCTGACGCAATACAAAGCAGAGTTTAGACAGCGGATCCATTATGAAATAAAAAACACAACAAATTAGCGTGTCATGCTTAGAAAATGAGAGGCAGCACGACCAACATGAGTTTTTGTGTTTTGGAAAAAGAAATGGAACCCTTTGCTAGAGGGGAACGATAATTAGTTCCCCCAAATCAAGTTTGCCAGCGATTTTCAGGTGCATTGAATTAGT